TTTGCTACTCAGCGGCCGTGCCTCGCAAGCCACCGGATAAGACTAAAACGGCATGCTCTTGAACGCTTGGGCTTTTATTCGTTGACGATTACAGTCCGTCGTTTTGTCCGACAAGACCTTTAGGGCCGGCAGTACATGGTTCATAGCATGGGAAAACCGTGACTAACCCGAGCGTGTTTATTTTCTGCAATAATATTTGAATATACCGTTACATTTTTTAGGGGCGGGGAGGGGGGGGGGGGGAGCTTTGGAGAGCCACTATTGGCGTGCACTGGAAAAATACATGGTGTGCAAAAAGGTATCATCTATTATTAAAGAATTATTATTAGACAGCAGTTTTAAACTGTGCGGTCGAGACGACATTGGCAAACGTCGTCTTTATTTATTTATATGAAACCGAGAGGCTCGAGTGAAAAGCGCGAAACGGGCGGCGTTCAGAACGGATCGCAAAACGAAGTTGTGGTCGACCGACCGCCTGCAACTTGAAAACCTTGCTGTGACGCCAACGCCACGGCCCATGTGTGGATGTTTTAGAGGAATGAAGTGCGTGCGGTGCAGTGTTTCAAACTACCCAAGTGTGCGAGTGTTGCTGCCTTATCGACGCAGCTAGAACTGCCGTCGAATTGTCAATAGAAACAACAAAAAGCCCCACGCATTCGTCAGTGAGACACCGCCTTAAAAGGATTGATGTGTAATTGTTTGTGCTATAAATGTTTTTTAGACCATACGGTGTTATTATTGTTAATTGTGTTTGTGCACCACTGCCAACGCAGCTGCAGCAGTATCATGAAATAATTTGTCTTATTGTAAAGCTTGAATAATTGACGAAAACCTTCATGGACTATCAGAGGACACTTCACATCTGCTCACGAAAACTACAAACCCACTACACCATAGGAACCTCCTTTGCCAGTAGCAAAATATGATCATTGGTTTTTTACCCTTTTATCTGGCAACAAAACTGACACCTTTTTTACAAGGAGTCATGTTTGCATTGACCACAATACCTGCGGTCAGAATGCAAACAAAAAACCAACTCTGATAATGTATGCACTGTCCTTGAAATTGATTGGTCCACACCCAAGACAGCTTTTCTTAGAGCCTAGTCTCACATGGTGTTGGACCAGATGATGCCAAAAGGCGCACAACTCAAAGACAATGCACCATCAGTATACTCCTTGTAAAAAAGGTGCCAGTTTTGTTGCTAGATGAAAGGGTAAAAAAACCACTTATGATAATACAAACCCACTAATTCAAACGCTATGGAACCACGTTGTTTAACCAATACCATTGCCCAGATTATTGCTTTTGGGGACAAGATTGGCAACAGAATACTTCTTAAATAGCAAATGTTAGAGGAATAAAAAAAACGTAATGTTACACTCACGCAGCAGTGCAATTGGTGCTAATGAGGCTGGGTGAAAGGTCTCGCGCCCAGGGGAAAGAAGCCTCTATTAATGTATTGGCCTGACCATCGTGTGCTCGTGTGTTTTTAACACCGTGTTGAAGCGGCATTAGCATTATTCACGCTTATTTTTACTCGCATGTTAAAAGCTGAACGCTTAATTGTTTTTATTTTTTGACGAAGTGAATTGCCGCAGCTGCGCGTAATGGTTTTGCACTCTGGACTTGCTATCCGGAGGTCCGTTTGGTTCTATTCCATCTCTCGGTTCGGCGGTTGAAACATTGAGCTAGTTTACGAAACACACCCCCACCCCCCTCCCCATGCACCCCCACATGCCGCCCGCCCGCCCCCACCACCACCACCACCAGCAGTGATAAATGGGTGAAGCAGTCGGTCAATTGGCATGTTGTGTGGTGGGGTAAAGTTTGGTTACTCCGACCTCATCCTAGACGTATGGGTAGCGTGGAAGAGTAGGCCAAATCCCCTCCAAAGGGGCTGTATAGAGCTTCCTTATAGTGGACGCCCTTCCGCCAGCAGTGGTGTGAGCGAGACATTGCAGGCCTGCACCTTATGGCAATAGGTGCTGTGGCCTTGTGAAAAGCAGCATCGGGATGTGGTAAGCTCTTTTGTCTGCGGACTCAAGTCGGTTGTGGAAATTCCACATTCCTATGCCAGGTGTCAGTATCTTGCATGATGGCCTTCGCCTTAATGTACGAGTCTTAATTTTAGATTTGAAGTTTTCCTGACCGCAAGGATTCATACTCTTTGGTTTTTTCGGTAAAGTCACTTTGGTAAAAATTTAAATAGATAAAATAAAAATGAATGAAACAACTCGAATAAAATGTTATCAAATCACGACGTTTCGGGCGCAACACAGGCGTCCTTCTTCAGGTGGGGACAACGAGTCTTAATTTCCAATTCTTTGGGCGAGCGCTTTATAACCAGGGAATGGCGCGATTATCATCTTGGCATCTCTCTCGCAATGGAGAGCAGGGCATCAGCATCCTGCCGTCACAACGGATATAAAGGGAGCACAGGGAAAGATGGGCAGTCTCTATGTATTCATCGTTCTGATAATTAAATACATGTGTGTGTGTGTATATATAAAGAATTCAGAAAGTTTAATAATATATTACTATATAGTGTGTAGAATGATGTGGCCATTTTGTGTCGTGTAGGTTTGTGTGCTTTGCGTGGTATTTGTGGAGATGCGTGTGCGGTTGTGTGTTGTTGATTTGTGCATCTTTACAGAGATGAGTTGTGCGTGGGTTTGTATTACGCTGGTTGTGTGAGTTTGCGTCTTGTGGTTTGTGCTCAGACTTGGAGTTGTCCGCAAGTCTGAGAAGTACCGTGCGTCGGCAGTTGCGTTTGAAATTAGGGCACGGGTGGGTATGTGTGAGTGATTGTGTTTGGTGTACTCTGCGGGTGTTGTGTGTGCATTGAATTTACATGGCATCCGGGATGAGGGATGGGTGGGATATTTTTTTGACCGTATGGCCAGTTGTTGTGTATGTGTAACAATGGTAAGATGTACATGTGTGTGCGTGCCTATTGAGCGTATCTATGAGTGCGCATTGAATTAAGTTTAGGGGATGATGTGTGGGTGGATTGGTGTGGTCGGTGCATAGTTAGATGTTGTGGACATGTGTTGAGTGTGTACGGTGAGTTGTGTGTATGTGTGATGAGTCTGTATGTTTTGCATGTTGAATAGCGTGGAATGGGGTGGGTGGGTGGTGCATCATCCGCTCAGCTGGGCTTCGTCCGTTCCATGCTCCATTCTCCACGCCCTGTTATTGCCAAAATTAAAATTAAAAACACACGCTCACTGACGTCACCTCCCTCCCGCTCACCCGCACAACCTCCTCCACCCTCACCCGCTCACCGGCACAGCCAGCCACCTCACTCCCACGCTTGCTCACCCCCCACGCTCACCACCATTCTTCACTCGCTTTCATTTTCTTGCACATAAACTCCACATTGCACCTGTCGATGAACTCTGAATTCACAGTTAACCCTACCTGCCCATGCCCACCCTCAATCCCTACCCTCTCTCCCACCTCCTTGCACCCACTCACATGCACCTGATCACTTTTAGGTGCACACCTTCCCACCGTCATTCACATGAACAACTACACAAACTCCCTCACCTTCACTTACCGGTCAGAGCTCACCTTGACTCCTATTTATCCACACCCACGGATTTAAACCGGACAAGACCAGGTGTCCTTTCACTCTGTGGATTGAAAGTTACGACATTCAGATGCCAAACGTTAATTGTTTTGTTGGCCTGTGACTCTCCTTTAAGACTCGTTTAAACCCAGCGCTGTTGCACCACTAATTCCCTCCACTTTGGATCGCTAATTGATTTGGACGTGTTTTGAGGAAACCCGAGAGACTCCGTGATGGAGGAGGTTGAGGGTTTTGGATTTGTGGGTAGAGTGGCCTCAGCGGTGAGCGCTATCGCCCCCCCCCCTCAAACCGAGAGTTCACGGATTCAAACCTGACCTTTGACCTCTGCTGGTCATTACACATAGAGCAAGTGGAACACATGGTTCAGGGAGTAAACACATTTATAGGAAAATAATTGGACTTGGGCAGGATCCTTCATAACAAGAAGGGATATGTGGCATGGCCTGTGGTCAAGACTGACGACGGAATAGCATACAAAGAATGGAGCATGCCCTAGAGGATGTCCATTGCAGAGATGGAGTCAGTGATTCCATCGCAAGACTTGGCATAGACATAGCAACAGATTGGGGAGGCATTCATCCAGCAGTGCATAAGATCATGGCTAATGATGAATAGAATGATACAGTTTAGGTGTCATCTTATGTGGTGAATAACAACAAATGAAATGTAACAATATTTACACTACACGGCATGATGGGTAATATACCCACAATCCATTCGAAACCAAAACATTACAGTT